GGCAGTGGGAAACGACTGCAGTTCTTCCTGATTCTAAAATACTGGCTCACCAGCAATTATGTGAGCTCAAGTTTCTGCCGCACTTGCTGCTTTCGTTTACATCTCTTTCTTTATATCATTTTCTCCCTGAAAAATCTTTAGGTGACGGATTGGTGGGAGGAGTATGTCTACCTCAGCAACCGAGCTCCACTGATGAGCAACAGCAATTACTACGGTCTCGACACCATGTGTCAGGTGGTCGGCAACCCCACACAGGCGGCTAGAGCGGCATTTATTGCCTACCACTGTCTCCAAATTCGTCATGCCATTTACCTCGGCGAGGTGCGTGATTATCCTTTATTTCGCCCCCCCCCCATTTAAAACTGAACTTTTTGTCACTCGCGATAGAGGTGACTTGCTGAAAACTTTTCGATGCAGAAGGTGGATCATAAGTTCCGTTACATGTTAGAATAAACTGAAAGTAGCACGATACTTTAACGAAATGCTCGCCTAAGAAATCCTGGGCCCCAATTTCAAGGTGGAGAAAACAATAATTTAATTAATTAATTAATTAAACGCAATTTTGAAAATAGTGGTGCCTTCAGTTTGGTTAGAATCCATGATATGAATGGCAAGGTTTGAATGCAGCCAACACTGCAAGATGCACTGGAGCCCCCTGCGTTTAATCACATTTGTTCACGTTATCCGCACAGCCTAATGTAACCTGTTGAATTCACCATTCCTCATATAGTAATCTGAAAACAGGATTTCCAGCGTTATCGAACCACAACGCTGCTAGATTTTGAAACCGAGCGAAGCGTTTGTTCCGTTCCATTATCGTATGTTGCTATGACTGAAGCCTAGTTGTCTTTAACGTAGGCGTATTCGTGGCTGCCTCGTTCTCGGGATCCGATCGAACCTACTATCACTCGCAGCTGAAGCGCGTTCTGGGTCTAGCATAGTTTTTTTCCTCTTATAATCTTTGCCGTTGTACGGTTTAAAATCCGCCAGTCACTAAAATTCTGTTCCTCATAGGCCTGCAACCCTTCCGTCATCAGTTTACCGTTTTCTTTCAGTCCCGCACCAAAACTAGCTGTCGCCTAGAAACCTCCCGTGAGGTGCTTCTAATGATTAACAGCGACAACTAGTTTTTTTGTCTACCGAGGGTGTCTCGGAGGTGGATGTGGTCGGTGCTAATGAGGTGAAGTGGTAGGGTCAGTTGTTCTGATAGAGTCGCACCTAGCTAAGTGCACGTAATCGTAGTCATAATCGCAAAACTATATGCTGACACGTTCTGCTGGCCAACGTTGTCGAATTTGAAGACGGGACAGACACAACGCACTCGAACAGTTGTCTAGACGAATGGATCTTGGTCTCATCAAGTAATTAAATGTTCCCCATGTGCTCTAAGAAGGTATCTATGAAAAGAAGATGCATCACTTCAGCAAAGGAGGCGAGCCCGTCATAATTTGGTAACTAATTCCCGATTTGACGACCAACGATATCCCATTACGCACGTCTTCTCGCCATTTCGCCCCAACGTCAAAAATGTTCCCCACTGGCGCACATAGTTATGTAAACGTTCTCCGGCATAGCATTAGTATTCGATGTGTGGGGCCACATATCAACATCTGTGAGACTGAATACGGCATCATGAACACGTGTGGATGAACCTCTGGCCTGATTGTTCACGACAATTGCGCGCACGCTTCAACCAGATTTTTGATTGAAAATATACCGGTGGTGGCGAAAGGATATACCAGCATTTGGCCACTTGAGACTGTCAAATTCGACTGCTGATGTATTTTTGCTTATTGTACACTTAGCTTCCAACTAGGAACATCCAACTTTCCCACTTCCGAGGGCGCAGCAGTTTTTTCAAAAAGCAGAAGCCGCATCCAGCTCCTTTTTAACCCTCATTGCTTTCGAATTGGTCTACTTTATTTCTGGCTTGTTTATCTGCCGCGAATACTTGAATACGGTCCGGTACGTCGTGTTTTCCGAAGAAGCCATACGATGTAAAATATAGCCTTAGCCCTTAAAGCACTTTCAGCCTTACAGCCAGGATTGCGTTTTTACATGCAACCTAACAATAACTGTATTCTCTTTACCCCCCCCCGTTACCCCAACCTCGGCAGATGGAACCAATCATGCTTCACGGCATCGTGCCCCTCTGCTCCCTCCAGTATGAACGACAGTTCAACACCACTCGCATTCCTCAGACCGGCGAAGACGTGATTAAACATTGGACTACATCAGACCACTTTGCGGTCTACCATCACGGTCGCTACTTCAAGTGTCCTTTCACCGTGGAGGGCAGATATCTTCTCCCAGCCGAGCTGGAGGCGTCAGTTGTCTCCCTGTTTTTTTTTTTCTTTTTCACGTTACACTCCTGAGTCCAACAATTAGTGTGCTTGCAACTCTTTCGTATCTGCCCTGGGGGGCGGGCAAAACTGAACTTAGCCTTAATCGTAGTACGGTTTGCTCTACGAATACGCTCTGCTTTATTGGGATGCCAGTGTCTTCCTAGTTTCATCTACAGGTCGGGGAACGAATTACCACTGGACTCTCTTTCTAGAACATCTGATTTGCTGTTCGATGGCCGGCCCGTGGAGACGGTCAATGTCCACCAGTGACAAACAACTGTTTCCTGGTTCCGTGTTTATACAAGTGAATGGTTGCGAATCGCAAACAGTCAAGTGGGCAGTTGTTTTGCAACTTCACGCCAGGTCTACGCCAGAGCCTACACAAAGTCTTGTTTAGTAGCTGTCTTGATGACCCAGACACTGGATCCGTTTGAATTGAACAGTTCGTTACCAATTGAGCTAGTGCGACCTCTACCGTGGCCTATCCCAAAGGCCTCTTTACATAGGAATTAGTTCTGGTTGGCCACAGCGCATCCAGCTCCACTTATTCAACTGGCTCCTAGGAAAGGAACATTAGGGCCACCCAGTCATGGCGAAATATCAAACCTGCAAACCCCCATTCGTGCGTATGGCAGGCCGAACAAAGTGGGCCCATGCCTGAAAGAATAAATTCTTTCCAATGTTAACTTATATTTGCTTATCTAGACACAATTAACTCCCCTGCCCCCACTTACCGTCAGTACTAAACCAATAGATCCATACGTCAGGAAGTTGCTAAATTGTGCTTAAACTACATTCTCCTGTACATCCTCAGTTCCTCTAAAGCCTGTAAAAAATTTCAACTCCTTATAATATCTTCTAAAAAATGAATTGCTTTTTCGGCTCTGAATGCAGTAAAAACACTGTAAACCATCACTGGCGACCGGGCTTTCACATGTAAGAGCAAGAATTTATTTTGTACATTAATAAAATCACAGTTTTCCTCAACATGTTCATCCACCTTATCTCAAAACTACCAGTAAGGCAAACCTTACAATGTTCACGGCCAATTGATACCCCGTGCACGATATCTTATAAAATTTCCAAATGAGGACAAACACCAATGGACGGAGCCGTTTTAACCTATATGAAGACCTTGGCCCACACTTATTTTGTGTTTGTATATACGTGTGAGTTTTTATCGTTTAGAATGTTCGAGTCCATCCTCGGAGATGTGAGCGAACCCGCTCCGGGCGAAGAGCTACTGGGTGCTCTAACTGCTGGACCGCGTGACGATTGGGCCACGGCCAGAAAGTCCTTCTTCTCCTCTGGCGTCAACCGTATCTCACTCAATGCCATAGAGAAGGTGAGGAGAGTTGCATTTTTGGCACTTCCATTTCACCATTCTGAAAGTACTAGTGCACAGTTGGGAGTAGCTGTCGAAGCACTTTTGGCTCAGAATACTTTAACTGCCCACCCTCCCTCCCCCAGAGAGGATATGGGAATAGGAAGGCTCCCCACCCCCACGGGTGACCTTGAGCTAAATTCCATAGGTAGTAAATATGTTTCGTATCAAAATCTTAACCCTTATTTTCCCTGGCATTTAGCGCGAAGTCGCATGTATTGCGGATGGTTTCTGTGTCTGTATGAATCGCGATGAAGATCTATTACCTCAGCTTTGTCGCCTTTGGGCTGTACATGTAATGGCAGACCTCTGTACAGAACGTTGGTGCTAATAATCGATAGTCTGCCGACTATTTGCGGGGGCGGGGGTCTGGAGTCACTGATGGCTAGAACAGTCCCTATTACGCCAGGTCATAAGAATCTGAACCAGATACTACCAGAAGTTGGGTGTCTGGGAACAGGATCGAACCGCCGACTAATCCAAACATTTAACGACGGACATCTGGTGACAGTTTCCCTTGTCTTTGCCGGCAATACTATCTGCCTACTACCAGGTGTTACAGCTGTCAGGGCTTCTGTCGAGGCCCTAGGCAGAGCGGGACAGGTGGGTAATTTTAGCAGTCAGGTGAACATTCATCAACGAGTTTCGATATCCCCTGACCTAAACCGGCAATACAATGACCTCGTGGATCAATGGTTAGGGCGTTCGACACTGATCAAAAAAGGTCGCGATTTCGAGGCTCGGGTGGGACACCACTTGGTTCCGAGTATGACTGGCAGACGACGGCAAATAAACCAGAAGTGGCCATTACAGTCTCCCTTGTCTTTTTCGGCAATACCACCTGAACATCTAGGTATCAGCCGCTGCTGAAATTTGATCTTTTTGCCAAGTGTAGGAGTTATTTTCACGTCAGGTTTTTCACGTAGATCACTTATTGTCGCCACCGCCTGAATGTGCATTTTCAGCTCCTCATATGTACGCCTGTCGGTCTCTCGACATACAGGAAGAAGTTAGTGTTCCGCGGCCGATATTTTGGCCGTTGACGAAAACGGATAGCAAGAATTTGTAGGCCAACTACCCTGATTGTTCAGTCACTGCAGTCACGTTCATCTTACTGATGTTCGATTATCCGTTGACCTTGGTAAACATAGTAAGCCGCCTCGGTATGCTCTTGTGAGTTGGC